GTCCTCTACTCCGATGTTGGGTCTGTAGGCGAACTGCAGCGGGTCCAGGGTGGTGCTGACCACGGAGCGGACATGGGTGAGGATGAGCCGCTCCATGGTCTTCATCAGGTGGGAGGTCAGTGCGACTGGTCTGTAGTGAGCCGGTTCCTTGGGGTGTGCTGTTTTTGGGACCGGGATCACACAGGAGGTCTTCCACAGGACAGGGACCTTCTCCAGGCTGAGGCTCAGGTTGTACATGTAGCTGAGGACCCCAGAGAGCTGGTCTGCACAGGTCCTCAGCAGCCTGGGACTGATCCCGTCCGGTCCTGCGGATTTCCTCAGCTTCAGGCGCTGGAGCTGACTCCTCACCTGGTCCGGTGTGATGGAGAGGGGGGGTGGTGGGGGCTGGGGGGGGGGGGGGGGGGGGGGGGGGCGGGAGGGCCTGGGGCAGCCGGAGGCAGTGTCCACTGGGCAGACATGCAGCAGGTAGAAAATGACTACATAGTCATCCATAACAAAGTACACCGAAATCCCAGCAGGTGGATGGCATCTGTATTGACCTCCATCCATCCATCCATCCATCCATCCATTTTCTTCCCCTTAATCCATTTCTGGGTCGGGGGGGGGGGGGGTGACAGTCAGAGCTGCACCCAGTATACAGAGCACCAGCACTTGAGCTGTAAAAGCTAAATGTGTCACAGACAGGAAAATTCTGGTAACAAAAGTTGAATTGTAATTGTAATGCCTTTAATAGACATCTTACAATGCTTATTACATACGTCCCCTTTAAACCATAAAGCAGCATTAAACAGTGTGCCAATCATCAGGCAAGGGGTTGATGGAGTTTCCAGCTGGGAATAGGCTTGGACAACAAATATAGAAGGACAAAGAGCTCTGAGGAATAACCACTGATTTATTTGTGTAGGTTATTTTTCTTACACAGTGGCCTCTAACCCTGTTTTGGTGTTTACTGGGTCCCCTAATGGTATTCTTAGTATACTGAGGACACATTTCCTTATGGGGACAATAGTATGTTCTTTAACCTAGATGGATACATATCGGACGACTTCCATATTAAACTTGACATGTCATGCATAAACAAGGGGAATTTAATACAGTTATGCGGAAACAAGATTCTTTTTTTTTTTAAGTTGAGTACGACACAGGACCTTTAATGTCCCTGGAGTGTGAACACAGTCTTTACCGGCTCATTTGGGTTGCTAATGATTCTTTGTAGCCGGTTTTGTTTTCTGAAACCATTAGCATAATGCAGTGTTCTCTCCGGTGACAGCAGCAGGTGTATACGATCACATAGAGTTCCTCCGAGCTGATCCTCATCGATCATACCTCAATATATTTGTGTGTGTGTGTGTGTCTGTGTGTGTTTGCGTGCGTATGTGTGTGTGTTTGCGTTTGTGTGTGCTTGTGAAGTAAGGATGTCGGGAAAAGGTCTGACTGTTCCCTCGCTTCGGAACAATTCATTACAGCGCTCAGAGAAAAATGTCAACTATTCATTATGTATGCAGCCTGCACTTTTGTTACATAAAAGGCAAACTACACGTACGTATCTGTCGCTTTGACCAAGAGCTGTTTCCGTGCGTTCCATGCGTCTTCAGCGACAACAGTTAAAGGCATCGGCAGCATAGGTCTACATGAGACTTAATTTCCAAACATACAGGTGTTGAAAATGCAGTTATGACTGGTTTTGTTTTAGTGCAATGACACCCATTTTAAACATATAGTATAGTTCTACACCCAAACAAGCCAAAGGAAAATCAAATGTGTACAAACCAAGGTTAAAAGTAGCTGTAAATGCTTCTTAAGAGCAGCAAGTGAATATCATTACACATAGATATACTGTATGTCAAACAATTAAAATGTTTCATTGCGATTCAGTGCCCAAAGCCCCCACTGAAAGATCAAGGCTATGCTCACACTCAGAGAGCAGCCGTCCTCCTGTGGACTCACCACCTGCAGAGGGTCAGTGAGGGGCTGGTGCTATGAGACTTGGGTGGCATCTCTGATTGCCACCCCCCTGACCCAGAAATGGATTAAAGGGTAGAAAATGAATGGATGGATGGATGGCATTGCAATTATTGGCGTCATAGTCAACTCATGATGAATTGGACATACATTTTTGTAAATTATACACATATATGGGAGGATGAATAATATTCTGTAGATAAAGTGACATTCATTGGACATTTTGAAATTGCAGTGTAGCACATATACTAATTACAGACATTTACAGTCTCAGCAGATCTCATTGTACAGTCTGACAGCAGCAGAGAGGAATGACCGAATCATCTCTTTCACACAGCAAGGGTGGATCACTTACTGAAACTGCTGCATCAAAACTGCTCCATTGATGCTATGTCCCCATACTCTTTTAATGGTGAACAGTGAATCATAATTAAAGTCGCAATCATATCAAAATTGATGTCTCAATTCATGCCTGATTTGTTTTAGGTGTTTCATCTGAAAATACTGCCAAAAATGATGTGTTTGTATCTACATAAACACACCATAAACCAGTTACAAAAAAGCACTGCCTATTGTTGTCTACAGTGTGTCCTGGGTTTATCTGTTCCGCCTAACCTTTAAATATGAAAACAGTGCATTTTTTATGGGACAACATTAGGCACACAATGGTCTCTTAGCTCCACAGACGTCTAGTAGAAAGGGGCACTAGACCAGGCAGGTTTCGTGGACGTGCAGTGAAGCATGCATCACCTTCAATGACTTTACATTGATTCTGTGCAGTTCATTGACTCTGTGTCCAGCCCAGATGTGCAACGGAACATGCAAAGATTTATGAGGCAAATTAGAAGACGGGATAGTGGAGAGAGGGCTTAATGAACAGTTGACCTGATCCCTCAGCTTAATTTAAGGTGACATAAATCAATGGAGAATCAACTTTTAAGGGCTTTTAACAGTATTTTAAAATAGTTCCCTCAACAGACTTGGAGTTATTATCAGATCTATCAGCCTAATTTCAGTAACATGCAACTAAAAGCTCAGTCTACCATGGTTATTGTATCCCTATGACAACATGCCCCAAGAATTTTTCTGCTCTTGCATTCTTACAATCACATGATTGTGTTTGCAGCTGGTAATTTTTCAAATTTGAAAAAAATAGAAATCTACACTTTCTGGTGCAGTATAGGGATGGGGCAGGCAGATAGAGTTATATACCCTTCATGCTTTTTGCATCATATATTTTCTACTGACAATATTATTTCACATTCTAAAACATTGCCTGAGGAAGGCCTGTGGCCGAAACGTTGCTATTTGAATAAATCACTGGTGTTTTTGCCAGTTAGACAGTGTGCGAGTGTCATCTTATTTTTTCACATTCTAAAACATGAAATGACAAAGAAACTTGTCTCATTATTTTCAAACTTTATTACAGACACGAAGTCCAGATAAGAAAGACATTACACAAAAACAAAAACAATAATAATTATACAAATAAGCATAGATGATTGCAGCAGACTATTGTACCAGTGACGCCACAGTTCAGACTGATAGCGTGTGGCACTAATTCTGATTATTATTATTATTATTTGTAATGATAATTTTTTTTTTTTATATTTGTTCTATAAGCTTTGCATCACAGCTGTATACAGCAATAAATACATTTACTCTGGTAACATTATTGGTCATGGTCATATTGGCTGATATTTGTTGTACTATGTTATGTTAAGGAAGCAGATACGGTCTCCACATTCAAGGCCAGGCTTAAAGCACTTTACTTTAATTTAGCATATAATTAGGTAATATATAATATGTAGTGTATATATTATATATATATGCTGTATTATGTTATATATTATGTTATATATTATTCAATAATGTATTGTGTTATGTTGTATATTATGTTATATATTATGCTGTATGTTATTCTTTATTCAAGGCTAGGTTTAAAACAGTCCTCTTTAGTTTAGCATATGGCTAGGAAGGTAAGATTCGGAGAAGGTTAAACTCCTCAGAGTGTCAGTCAAGCTGCATAGGGAGTCAGTTTGCTGGGAGAAGTATGGTAACTTGAGCACTATCCTCTCCTCCTTCCTACTTTATCTACTTTATCTGTTTAGCATTTTTAGGATTCTGACTGTAGTTTGTTCATTGCTATTCACCCGTTGTCCCATTGTCTGTTTCATGGTACGGTGACGGGATCTCTGAGCCTGGCCTCTTCCATCTACACCTGCGGACTGCCCCGCCCGACCCGCCTGGGAGTGCTTCGGTCCTGCACCGGACCTGTCCACGTTCAGCGTCCACTGGTCCACGTCCTGTAGCTAGCTTAGGTCCTAGATCATTAGCCTGTCCGTCCGGAGGAGCGGATCCCTTTCTCATATGGGTCTCCCTCCCTGTGGGTTTCCCTAGTGCTCCCCAAGGTTTCTCACGTTTTCCCACTGGGTTTTTTAAGAGTTTTTCCTTGTGGATGCAGGAGGGTCTTGTTGGACAGTTAGTGTCCAACAGAAAGGATTGGTGATGATCAGGACACTTTAGCATTCTACAACATGTATGGACATTTTCTTCTGTGTGTGCTTTATATTCTCCATGTGTTTTGGCTGTTGATTCTCTGACCTGTGTTGGTGATTTCAATGGTTTTGTTAAGTCCTCTGAGATGACTTCTGTTGTGACCTAGGGCTATACAAGAATAAATTGTATTGTATTGTATTGTAATTGTACTATGCAGGTTTGCATATTATCTTCACAAACAGCTTCCTGTATTACCTCTATTGAAAACATTTATTTGCAAACCTATACAAGATATTAATGAATATGCATTATGAATTTAATTGGGAACAGCACACAGCAGTCCTCCCTGACCCTGCTCTGCCCCAGCTCACGTAGGCACTTCACCTGCTGTGAGCTCTGTCTGAATGAAGAATTAAGATCCGATCTGGTCAGGCTGTTTACAAAAGTCTTGGTTTACACAGAGGGACAATAGCAGCGCAGATGGAGTGTGGTCTGCTGGCAGTACGTGGTCTGCCACACATCACTCGCATCAGGCAGGAATGTCCTCAGTCTGGGCATGTCCTCAGTTTGGGCATAGAGGCTGCGGACTGAGCCTCTACAGCATCTACGCCGTCTGCAGCATCTACGCCGTCTGCAGCATCTACGCCGTCTGCAGCATCTACGCCGTCTGCAGCATCTACGCCGTCTGCAGCATCTACGCCGTCTGCAGCATCTACGACGTGTGCAGCCTCTACGACGTGTGCCCTCTAACGACGTGTGCAGCCTCTACGACGTGTGCAGCATCTACGGCGTGTGCAGCATCTACGACGTGTGCAGCATCTACGGCGTGTGCAGCATCTACGGCATGTGCAGCCTCTACGACGTGTGCAGCCTCTACGGCGTGTGCAGCCTCTACAGCGTGTGCAGCCTCTACAGACATGTGCAGCATCTAGGCAATACTGCAGAGTCTAGGCCATCTGCAGCATCTACGGCATCTCCTGTCTGACATCCGGCGGGCCACTGACTCCGGTGCAGGCCAGAATCTGCTGGACAAAGCAAACTACTGTAATGCCCAACAGGACAAAACGCAGCGTTAGTGTGAGATGTGTTTTGGTCCATCCATCTATTTTTCTTTATACCTTTTTTCTTTCCTCTTCTCCCCAAAAGCTCATGACCAGAGACGCAGGTAGAATATAGATGCAGCAGTCAAGCAAGAGTTTTGAACTCCTCAATTTCAGGAAAGACCTCTCCAACCTGGAGAGGGCAAGGCATCTTTCTGTTGTCGAGCACCGTGGCCTCTGGTTTGAGGTGCAGAGCCAGTCCATTCATGGGATCAGATCTCTCCATCAATATGGTCCTCCCCGAGGTTTCTTGCTTTTTAAAGTTGTTCCTTGTCGCTGCAGGAGGGTCTAAGGTACAGTGATGATCCAAGCATTTATGAAGATTTGTTAACATTTTATGGACAATGGGCCTCATTCACGAACGGTTCTTAGGAACAGATTTGTACGTAAATCCTACTTACGCGGTTTTTACGAAGAAAGTGGCATTCACGAATATTTCTCGTAACCAGAATTTGTCTTGGGCAAGTACAAATCCTACGAGTCCTCAGGAGCACTCGTACGCATTCAGTGCCGACATGTTCACACGCCGGGGTTGTCCTCTTTGGTGAAGTTGAATAAAAATACAACATTCCAGTGATATGTCCGTCATATCGATGTATGTATTTATTTATTTGTAGTAATCTTTATTAGTAATCTTTATTTATATACCGCCTTTTTCACTGCAGATCTGGCCTACTTTTTAATTCATTTTGAAATGAAATGTGCCAACGCTTTATCAAATACATTGGAAATCTTGCCGTGTATTAGTGACCCCTTCCTATTTATAGGGGGCATTTCTTTATTCACGGGCCACAGAACAACGGCATATATACTGCTGCTGCAGGAGGTTACTGGGTCCGCGCTGAGTCTCTGCGCTGGTCTCTCCTATGGATCTATACGGGTCTGCACTGGTCTCTCCCATGGATCTATATCGGGTCTGCGCTGGTCTCTCCCATGGATCTATACGGGTCTGCACTGGTCTCTCCATACGGGTCCGTGCTGCATGCTCCTGGATCCTACGGGTCCGCGCTGGTCTCTCAAGTCTGGTCTATGCGGTCTCTCTTCGGTCCGCGCTGGTCTCTGCGCACCGGTCTCTCCAGTCAGGTCACTCCAGTCTATGCGGTCTCTCCTGTCCGCGCTGGTTTCTGTGTGCTGGTCACTCCAGTCTCTCCTCGGGTCTGCATTGGTCTCAGCGCTGGTCCGCGCTGGATCTCCTCCCAGGGTCCAAAATATTTGAGATTAATCTCAAAACATTTTGAGATTCATCTTTAAAATAATACATAATATATTTTTAAATTAAGATCATAACATTTTGAGATTAATCTCATCATATTCTTAGATTAATCTCATAATTTTGCTAGTTCGACTTTATTATCATAATATTTCGACTTTTAAGTCAACATTTTATAACTTTATTCTCAGTCTGGCAAAAGCCTGCTTTAGGCCTGTTGCTGTTTCCTCTGGCGTCTGCACACGGCCCTGCAGTCCCTTATATGGGCATTTTGTGGGGGTTACTTATGCTAAGTACCCTATGCTAATGAAGCACCTGGCACGCGCGCTGTACTTACGTGGAAATGGGATTCATCAATCTGAGAGAACAGCTGCGAACAATTCAGCGCCTTACGAGTGCGTTGATGAATCCCACGGAGGGGACTTCCTAGGAGAATTCTACTTAAGGACTACTTGAGAAGAAAGTTGAGTAGTTTCTTACGTAGGTTATTCGTGAATGAGGCCCATTGGTTGCATGCCCCCTGTAGACCAATGGCTCCGTATGTGTTTTGTTGTTGTTGTATTTCAGTGTTCGTATTAATTCTCAAAAGTTATAGTTCTCAAAATAAATTCTCGGATTTGTTGTTAGTGAATCTACAACTTTATTAAGTCTGCACGAGACGGACTGCTGTTTTGATTTAAGGCTGTACAAAAATACATTGAATTGAATCCTGCCTTATCGCATTCAGCTCTGCCCTTTACATGCAAGCATCAGGAGTGTTTTAATGGCTGAAATGACTAACCCAAACATGGTCAAAAAGTTGTGAGAAGTTATTATGTCCTGAAATTGAATTGTCAAGTGTGGACAGCAGGCCACCACTTGCAGTTCAAGGGCTAACACTGCCCTGTCCACACGGGGCTTTGTTCTCTCCTGCTCTGGCTCACGGCCCTTTGTAACTGTGGCCTGTTTACCACATAGGAAGGGCCCGTCTGGCGGCTGGGGTCATTTGCATGTGATGGATGGAGTCCTGTGGGCCACTCGAGCGTGTGTATACTGCCGACACACAAACTGTAGTGATGTACGAAGTGCTGGAGGCCCTAATGAGCAGACGTGGACAGTCACTTTTACTTATAGGTAAAAGCTGCGCTCAAGTATTCTTCACAGTCTGTACTTTTCTGACATACTTTTCCCTTTAGATTCTATGATTACTACTCCAAATCGTTTCAATGTACTGAGATTATTTATGACTTTAGTGGCCTTGAATGGATTTTTTCAATTTTTGCTGTGTGAGAACTGTGCTATACAAATAAACTTGCCCGCCTCGCCTATAATTCTGCTCTTTACATTTTGTCAGCACTTTAAAACATTTGCTGAAGTTTTATAACACAAGTGTGCAGTGATTAGCAATGCTTCTAAGTTCATGCATAACAGTTTGAAGAGGTTTGCCATGCTTCTAAATTCAGTCATATTTACAGTAACTGCATTCAGCTGCAATCATGGTGGTACTGTATATGTTTTATAACACTGTGTTTGTATTTTATTCCACTCAAAACAGGTTTGAGAACAACCAAATATGGATTACAGTAACCAATTGTCATAGGTCGTTGTGTGGCAGATGATGTTTGCGGTCACACATATCGGACATGCAGGAACACACACACCAAGCTGCAATGTTGGCAATGTGATCAAAGTGTCATGGTTATGGACTCAACAGTTTGACAATTTACAGCCGCATGCAACCCACTGAGGTCTCCCATCACAGTACTTACCAGGTCTTTCCCTACTTAGCGTCTGAGGTTTAATGGGATCAGACTTTCAAATGGGGCTCCATTCGACTTGTTGATACAGGGATTCGCAGGTACTATGGTCTGATTCTGACCCATGTACTTGTCAATCCCTCCATTATTAGTTTAACAAACAATAAACCAGCTCTGTTTATAGTTTGTCTAACCACATGTGCTTTCAGAAATGCACAGTAAAATGTTGTCCTAAATATGACTTTATTGCTCTGAAGAGAACAGGGTCTGGCCTCTAGCAGGAGTAAACATGGGGAGGCAGAGTTTTCACATACAGTATATGCAGCTGAAATCTGGAACAGTCTTCCCGAAAATGTGAAACAGGCTTCTACTCCTATAACATGTTCAAATCCAGGTTAAAAACAGTTTTTAGCCGTGCTGAAGGACGGTTTCTTCACTCCTTTTTATTGTTCTGTCAATTCAATTAAATCCAATGTATTCTTCTATAGCCTTAATTCACAACAGTGGTTATCTCAGATGACTAAACACAACTGATGAATTTGCCAACGTAGATCAGAAATACAAGACATTCAATTAAATTCGATACAAGGGGCAGATCACCAATGTCCATAAATATTGATAAATGTCCACAAACGCGCTTTGTTACGTACTTTGAGTTGCCTTGTGAATGTTGAACTGTGCTATACGAATAAACTTGCCTCGCCTGATTGCCTCAGTTGTTTTTCATCACATTTTACACACAGTATTGTACTCGAGTACTTCCGCACAGTACTTTTCCTACACCTCTGAACCGCGAGTGGAGCCATCCAGGAATGTGCCAATCTGCGCGCCTGCTTACCCCCCAGCATGTCTGCGCCCTGCTCCCTGCTTCCTTCCCCCTGTTTGGGTATGGCTAGACTGGACGGGCCTGTATCAGAGGGCAGGGGACTGGTGCAGAGGCGGTGGGGGGTCCGCGGAGCCCCCTCCAAACAAAACCAGGAAGAGCAGGAATGTCCCGCAGCCAGCCGTACTGTAAGCAGAGCACAGGGCCTGGGACGTGTGAGAGGACAAACAACAGGCTGGGGGTGACTAAGACTGGTGCTTATTTACATCATACATTATTCAGGCTTTTTAAATTTTTTGTTAGAGATTAAAGCTGGGGTACCTGATTATCAAATACGCCTGTTTACAACCAAATAGTTCCCCAGCTCTCAAAACAGTTTGGTGCACGACTGAATAATGTTATTTTTTTTACTGTTAAAGCTGAGGTACCCACACTCTAAAGAATTTCCTTGTAGAAAAACGATAAATAGCTGGCAAATATGGTTCCAGGAATTTACAGTTTTCTCAACATGGCATTACTGTTGCTAATTTTAACGGTTAAAGACTGTTTCACTGAATCACATTTTGCCTTTGTGATTTCAGGATTTAACCGTATGTTCCTGTTAATTCACATTCAACAAAAACAGCTTTATAATTTTAATGTTGTATTATTATACCATATGACTGTTTCTGTTTCTAATTAGTTTCATTGAACAAAAAAACTACACAGTTTAATTTGTTTTACTTTAACGAACACAACTTTTCAATAATTTTTTTACATCTTCAGTTTATACAAGAACAATGTTGAATTCTTTACTTCTATAACATGCTTAATGCTAAAGGATCATTCTAGCTAAAGCAGGAGTTTACATGTGTGAGAGGCACCTTTTACACTCATGGTTGCTCGCTAGTTTATGTTAATTTACGGTAATAATACCATAATATCACAAGGTGATTACTAATCACCTTGTGATATTATGGTATTGTAACCTTTTTTTTGTAATCACGTTATAATTGTGGTAATAAAACGCCACTGGATGTTTTTTAACCAATTTAATACTTACATTTTCATGTTTGAATTGTTTTTCAAAATAACATTTGTTTAATGTTGAAATTTCATTGTAATTTTACAGAAATTTGTTACAGTGCAGATTTAAAACTATACAAAAATACAATGAAAAAAAATACATAATTCTAATTCAAAATATTTTTCCTTGTCATATATTTCATATTGCGTCTGATGTAGCTTTTGATCAGCGTTTTCAGCCAATCAGCCCAAAGAATGAGTCTGGTGTGTGTGTGAATGGTTGGTGGTGGTCGGAGGGGCTGATGGCACATACTGGTTGCCTCGCTTCTGTCAGTGTGCCCCAGGGCAGCTGTGGCTATAGTTGTAGTTTATCACCACCGTGTATGGAGTGAAAGAATAATGACAGGAGAAGTGTCTTTGAGTGTTCAAAAACTCTCAAAGGCGCTATATAAAACTGATGCATTATTATTGTCATTACTATAATCAAGTATTGACTCACAGGGCTCTTTCCAATTACGCTGAAAATATAACCTACATTTTTATAGATGGAAACATCAACAAATTTGTGGTCCGATTTGGTCACAATATTAACTTTTATTGGACTGATTCTGTGAGGACAAACCACATGCATTATTTTATTAGGAAAAAAGTTTAGTGCCTCTGCTTTAAAGGGTGGATTATGCTAGTACCTTAGTGCAAAGTCTCAATGGGGAAAAAAGTTAAATGAAAATAAATACCACTACACACAATTATAAAGATAATGATGATGAAAACAATGATAAGGTTAATAATAATAATAATAATAATGGAAAAATGCATGTGCGTGATGCGTGTCGTTTATATCTAAAAATAAAAACAGACAAAAAATGGGATAACACCATTCGTGACTGATGGAATAATCGTGGCACCATCAGGTCTGACAATTCAACAAAGACAATTGTTTTGGAGAGTGGGTGTAACCTCTGCATTCTTACACAAAATCATCTATTGTGCATCACACACAGAGCGACATCTTCCTCAGGTTCAAAAGTGAAAGGGACAAAAAAGGTAACGGTCAAACAACATTTTATATTCATTTTGTAAACAGTGACTATACATACATAGTTCAGTTGTTATTTCACACACCTTTTAACTGATGCTGAAGGTGAACATTGACATTATATATGCGGTTATATTTAGTGGTATATGTAGTAATTATGTAGTCTAGATGGAGTAACAGTATTTAGAGCTGCGTATGTCAATCAAAAAAAACCAGGTCCGCACTCTCTCCTGAGGATTTGGATTCAATTACTGCAGAGGAGTAATTGAACTTATGGGCAGCACAGCAGACAATGCAATATCTGGGAAATTCAAATATGATTTAAGTCAGTTTTGCATAATGCCTAATTTTTTTCACAGCAAGGGGAATGACTCCAAATTTTAAAAGAAGATTCAATGGAACAGCAATGGAAAAAAAAGACATTGCGTTTTATAAATAGCACATTTTAAAATAACTAAGAGATAAACAGTTGAATATATAGAGTTTACTTTCCCCTTTCAATGGCCTCTGGGTCGTCGCAGTGCAGCTTCCAGGGGCCCATCTCCAGATGTGGATGCCTCTTTCTACAGGAGGATTTTGCATGTTTTGGAAGGTGGGGGGACTTTTTTTTCTATAAAATTTGTCTGTGTCTTGTGGTGTCTTTGTGATTCTAAGTTTTTAGATTATGAAACATTCCTAATGTAAATGATATCAAAGGGGCATATTGTCAAAAATAAGCATTCTCTTAAAAATCCAATAAAATCTAAGTTGCAGACATCCTCTTCAACCATCTTCAAATTGTCACAGTGGTATTGAAATGGTAACCAGTTTGTAGCTAATTCTTCAGTATTTTGACAACACAACAATTAATGTACATGTACACTTCTTGCTGTTTAATTTGAATAATGATAATATTAATGTACCACTTTCATATCACACTTTTTTTGGACACTCAAAGACACTCAAGGACACACTTGACATGGCATTATCATAATTACTCAACTCTAAACTCCAAACACTGGGGTGACAGGTCCTTCTCAGTCCCTGGACCCAGACTCTGGAACAAGCTGCCCCCTGATTTGCCGGTTGCCAGTCCGATGTACGCTAGGCATAACACTCATTTGCACGTTGGCACTACTTTAATGCTTTAATTTCTTGTTAATGCTTTTTTACTGTTTAATTGTTTGATTACATGAATGTTTTATTGTATATTTTACTGTAAAGTCCTTTGGTGTCCTCGGGGTTGTAAGGGGCTCTAAAAATATAATTTGATTTGCTATTATTATTATTATTTTTATCATCATAATTCACTCCATACACAGTGGTTATGCAGCAATTGCATCGCACAAGTCTTACTCATAGAAGTGTCCTTGTATCTAAACTCTCAGCCTATCAGAGTTTACCATCAGCCCGCATGTGCCCGCTCGGGAGAAAAACAGTTTCTTTATCGGAGGCCGACTTAAACAATGCATGTGTTGTGGCAACGCTCTGATTAAAGCAAGGCGAGTATCAGAGGCTTTAGTTTCCGTCGCTCCAACGCTCTGAGAATGTGAGAGGAATGTGAAAAAGCATCCTGTTTTCATTCCAGGCCTGAGTCAGCGTTCAGGACAGCGGTGATGACACTGACGTCGTAGTTACGGTCAAGAGGAACAGACGGTGACATGGGTATGTTGTTGTACATAATTATTGTCACTTTTATTGTACATATATCCTGCATGTAACATGTTTGCACATTTCCTCCCTTTGCACAATCTGAGTGTCTCTATCCATGCCAAATGTGACATGTAAATTTCTCCTCTGTGAGATAAATAAAGCTCATCTTATCTTATCTTATCTTATCTTATGAAGTGTGTCATATGTGTGGCTCTGGAGGAGACGGAGTTTGCATGTTCTTCCTGTGCACTGCTGATCATCCTCCAGTCTCTGGTTTTCATCCATTGGTCAAAACAAAATTCTAAAAAATTAAATTCAATGACTAAAGAACAAAATTAATCATATTTGTATTTGTATATTTGGATAGGGCAGTGTGTATTAATGAACAGTAGTAAATACAAAAGGTAGTCCACAGTCGCACTCACAAACACTCATTCAACCCTCACCTACTGTTTGTGTTTAGTGGTAGCAGAAAACGGAGCACCAGGAGGAATCAGCTTTAGCTTAATATAAAAGAAAGTATAAAATACTTGATCCTCTAGTGCAAGAAATATACACTTGTATATGAGAAGACAGTGGCTCAGTTGGTAGAGCATTCAGGCTCAAAGGCCTTCTCCACCGACTCCCACTCATGTCTGCTGTCGTTGTGTCCTTGGGCAAGACACTTTGCCTGTAGCTCCCGCTGAAAGATCAAGGCTGTGTTGTCATTGACAGAGCAGCCATCCTCCTGTGGACTCACCACCTGCAGGAGGATCAGTGAGGGGCTGGTGCTTAAGTGCTATGAGTGCTGGGTGCAGCTCTGACTGCCACCCCCCGACCCAGAAATGGATTAAGGAGAAGAAAATGGATGGATGGATGGATATACATCTGCAGATAATCAGAAAGACACTCAGTAATAAGTGTTGTAAGAGTGTGCGTGTGGCTGCGTGTGTAGATGTGGTTTGGGGTGAGGCTGCTGGGTGGTAGTTTTGACAGGTCTAACACAGGTCATGGACAAGTGGGATTGTTTTGAACCAAACTGTAAAAGAACTTTGTGTTGCATTTTTGTAAGAAAATTACTTGATTGATTACCCTAGGTCAGGTGTACATAAGATTCAGATTCAGATTCATTTGCCATTTGCAGTAAAACCACATTGGAACACATCCGCAAAAGTATAGGAATAAAACAAACACAATTGTCACTGTGAAATCGATCAACTAAAACAGTTTCAATACAAGTGCAAGATCTTTTAAGTGCTTTGTTTAAACTGATAACATGTTGTGCCCAAGGGAAGAAGCTGGAACATGGCTTAAGAGTCTGGATTCATAAAGAACGTCAAGAACGGGCAGCTCACAGCTCACAGTCCTGAGAGAAGAGCACCTTGTTTAGAGCTCTCCTTTCTTTGGCTGTGATGTTACAAAACCACACGCAAACTTTCAATGGTGCAGCGATAAAAGTTAAGCAGCAGCATCTCAACTCAAAACAGTGACCAGCTGTCACAGATGTGTGTATGTGTGTGTGTTCTTGTTAAGCACCTCTGACCAGTGTCCTCTGCTCTGCAGCTCTGCAGCTCTGCCCTGTATCTTAGACAAACAGGCAGAGGACATGCTGACTGCAGCGGCTGCATTCACCACAGATAGACTTGAGGATGTTTTCAATGAAGTGTTTTTGAACGACTTCAGTTCAAACTAGGCCAGAGATAAAAACAAATAGATTATTACATATTATGGTCTCCCCCAATAAGTATATTTTAAAAACGTCACATGGTCTGGGACTATAACAAATATGGAATTGTTTTCTTCCTGCAGACCTGTTTGTTTTACTCGAGAGGCCTGTCAAACAGTGGGAAAGGTTGACATGTTGTTTGGACCCGTGTTGCTCTACACCACAGGGAAGACAGGAACGTGTCAAATTAAAAGGATCAAAATAGATCTTTGAAAGTCACTACCGCAGGCTTGTCCAAACTAAGGCCTGTGGGCCAATTGCAGCCCTCTGTGTCATGTGCTGTGGCCCTCTGTGTAAGATAAAGTAATCTTTGAGATTATAAATACAAGTTCAACAGTGTCATCCAGCCAACTTCAGCTCAGTCAGTATAGATTTGTAATACCTTGCTTTAAAGCTCAGAACCTCTGGAATTGATGTTATTTGTATGCAGCATCTTTTTGTTTACATGTTTTTTTACAAGGAGAAAGGTTAGCCCAAGGTTCTGGGTTTGAATCCTGGCGTCTGCTTGTTCTCCCTGTCTCTCTGCATAGGTTTTCTCCACACGCACTGGATTCCCCTACCACTAAAAGCATGTACAATATGTAAATCCTTCAACACCGGTATTCCTCCTGACCAATCAACATCTGGGATCGTCCCCTGCCGCAATACTATGACAACAATGCAGGATGGGTCACATACAGAGGATACATTATTTATGAAAGAGAAAGGACAAACAATCAACAGTTTTCATCCATGTATGTTTTATTTCCATATCAATGCCGCATTCATACCGTTATAAATATACTCCATCATAATAAATAAGACAATAAATAAACAGGTCTATGTACAGTCGTTGCTTTCATGCTATAATAATGGACCAGAGGAGGGATGGAGCCTTTCATTTCCTGTGTTGGCGCTCCGTTGGGACAGAGGGTCTTCATGTCCCTCGGATAATTACTGCAAAATTATGATACCATTGTGTTCCGTGGCACTCCGCGCTCATTCAGACCTGGCTTTGGCTTATCTTCAGCCAGTGCACCCACAACAAACAGTCTCCGCACAATGGACCGGGGAGCTGGAATGTCACCGATACAGAGGGAGAATGGACATGAAGAAAGTGTTGCATAAATGTTGCATAAAAAAAGACAACCAGAGCTGCAACTAACGATTATTTTGTAATCGATTAATCTATTGATTATTTTTACGATTAATCGAGTAATCGCTTGGCTGTGAATTGTGTAGAAAAAAAATATTTTTTCATCACAAAAAGCTAAAGTGGCAACACTCGAGGACGTGTAAACTTAAAGTAAATGTTTTAACAGGCTCTTTGTGCTAATTCTGCTATCTGATTGGATGAGACAGACAGATATTCATGAAATTATAAAAACAAAGTCAGTTTTAATGCAAAAATACTACATTTTCATGTCATTTTGGCTCTGTTTGAGTCTGTGTGAACCAGAAAACGATTAATCGATTACTAAAATAGTTGTCGACTATTTCAATAATCTATTAGTCGTCGATTAATCGATTAGTTGTTTCAGCCCTACTTACCAATAATTTTACTTTCATTGTGTTGTCATTGTAGAATATGAGTCATAAAGCCTCTTCGCAGCCAGTTTAAATCTATGTAAGCTACAAAAACAATTAACGGACTACTTAATGAAAATACCATTTAAACTAGCCACATAAACTAGCATTTAGTAAAATCTTTTAGATGATTAAATGTCATTGGCGTTTACTGCTAACAAAGGTCTTGCACCAATGCAAAACGAATATTTACCTCAACTTTTATTGCAAAATGACCAGACAACATGATCTCCAATAACTTGCCATTAACAAGCACCGCATCAACAGCGCTGGTGCTTGATGCATTTTCTTTGAGGAATGGGTTTGTATGTTTGTAAAGGACAGTGGCATAGCATGAGAGATGACACTGATAATGAAGAATTCGAGCGTAACTTCAAATCAACACAATTTCAACAAAATAGCTCCTTCTAATCTGCAATCTATTAAAGGGTTAACATTATACATTTTATTAATTTCACTTATTTTCCGTTTATGGCAATTATCTTTGCAGAACAAGGTCACAGTAGAGCTTGTATCTGAAGAGGGAGTATTTCGCAACTGATGAAAGCAGATCTAAGAGCAGTTTTAAGGCAGCATTGACTCCAAGTTATGAATAAAGATTCTTCAATAAGCCATTAGCTTCAAAGTGACGATGCAAAGATTAACTGCTTGGTTTTAGAGAGCAACTTCGAGGCTCTAAACGCTGGAAATTCATACACCCTTGAATGAGTTAGATTTGTATTTCCATGCATGACAGAAATCCAGCTTTAGATCGCAGCATCGATAGCAAAACAGACCTGGTGCCCCATGGCCCGCGCTGCTTATTGCCACATAACAGAAGTTAATTACCCTTGTGAGTAATTTTACTTGGAACTGTCCAGTGAAATTACAGAGAAAGGAAAGATTTGGGGATTCCTCCAGGATATGTAGTAAACAAGCAAAGGCACACACTTGTTAAAATGGCTGTGGCTGTCACATCATTGCGATACAAACAACTCGCTTAATATAATCACAAAGGCTGTTCCATTTAGGTTACGAATTAAATCGACTGGTTTAGTTTACATAAAGCCAGAACACAACTAAAAAGGGCACTGGATGAGACTCCACTTGGGGAATTATCTAAATTCATCTAAGATTTAGGTTCATTTTCAAACACACATTGGCCTTTTTCATACTGTACCTACTGTACACACACAGGCACGCACACACACAAGCTGATCTTAGTTTGAATTCACAAATAATTCACAAGCAGGAGTTCGGAGTCGGTCCAAACCCAGCGTGTTCTCAGGTGTCGCCTGAACTGGGCTGGCCTTCACTCTGAGGACAAGCAGATGGCGTGTGTGAGTTACAGAAGCACACAGATCAAGAGCAGAAGAACGATGTAGAGTTTTTTTAAGTGCTTTAAATTTTGGACAAGGGTTGTAATTAATGACTGTTTTCATAATCAATTAGTTGGGCAAATTATTCATTTGGCATAATCCAATCAATCAAGTACAGTAATTGCTCTGATCCATAAAAGGAGAATATGGGATTTTGTTTATACATTTGAAAAACTAATAATGCATCGGTTTTATATTGTGCAGTGGTGGTAAACTATTACTGTAGCCAGAGATGCCCTGGGGCACACTAGATTCAAACTAGGCAATGTGGGTGAAGTGTCTTGCCTCAGGTCACAACAACAGTTTGGCCGCAGTCACCCCACTGTAACACCTAGTGTTCCCTGAGGTCTCCCATCCCAGTACTAACAAGGCCCTGCGCCCTCCTTAGCTACAAGAAGTCTGAGGATCTGGCTTTCACATGCAGTGGTGCCACAATCTTCATAGAGAAAAACTAATGAAATGAAATCCATTGCAACTAATACTAGAGTTGTCAACTAATTTTTGCAAACTTGTTACAGCCTTAAATGAAACATTACAAGCAAGCAATTATACAAACTGGTTTTAGCACTAGTTACAGAATTAAAGAAATGCTGACTGTATCAAAGCACATGTTGATCTTATTATTATCATGTAATCATGTTTTGACATATTGCCACATAGATTATGGAGATTTGTGAAAATTAACTGGACTAACTAAACTGGAGGCTACACTTCTTTTGCCCATTCATTAACGCGCAGGCCCCACCTAATCCAAAGTTCAGAAAGTGCCAGGGCTTCCGGGTGAGCACAACCTTACTGTATCCATTTGCATAAGTTCAAACACACACATTTTCTCACGGCACACAGGATAAACACAAACTCTGGTGATAGGAGCAAGACTTTCAGGTTTAGAAACTCAATCCTGCAGCAGATTTCAGTACACTTCCAGTATTGTGTAAATAATAAATGCCAACTCAGTGGAGAGAGAGACGAATAGAATGATTACATTATTTCAGGGTAGGGCTGGGCGATATGGCAAAAAATTTAAATCTCAATTTTATTTCCTGCTTTGGATGATTTTGATTTTAAATTGATTTTCATTAAAGTCACCTATAACCTAAAAATTATTTTGATCCTTCAGCTCAATATTCAAGTTTCAAAACGACATTTAATTTGTTTCTCCCAATACGTATTATAAAAGTCTTGTACAGACTGTGCTGATAATGAAATTATAATTCATGTGCTCTCACAATATCCTTCATTCGATTTCATAATTCTCACATTTTTCACAAATTTGATTTTTTCCAAAAGCCGGGTCATGGTAAATTTGCAGTGGTCTGATACTCCTTCCATTTCAATATAACTGCTTGCACAGTGCTTCTTGAGATATTTAATTTGCTTGGGAAATCGTTTTGTATCCAAATCCGGCTTTAAACTTCTCCACAACAGTATCTCGGACCTGCCTGGTGTGTTCCTTTGTCTTCATGGTTCTCTCTGCGCTTTAAACAGAACCCTGAGACTATCAAAGAGCAGGTGCATTTATACAGAGACTTGTTTACACACTGGTGCATTCTATTTATCATCATCAGTCATTTAGGACAACATTGGATCATTCAAAGATCCTCACTGAACTTCTGGAGTGAGTTTGCTGCACTGAAAGTAAAGGGGCCGAATAATATCGCACGCCCCACTTTTCAGTTTTTTTATTTGTTAAAAAAGTTTAAATTATCCAATAAATTTCGTTCCACTTCACAATTGTGTCCCACTTGTTGTTGATTCATGACAAAAAAAATTATATCTTTATGTTTGAAGCCTGAAATGTGGCAAAATGTTGAAAGGTTAAAGGGGGCCGAATACTTTCGCAACGCACTGTATATGTAATGCTATAAGATGCATACAAACACAGACAGGACAGTGACAATGAAATCAGGTAATAATTTCAAAGATGTTTAATGCTTCATGTTGTGTTTCCCTTGAATATACTATACTAAACTGAGAGCTGTGGTTGGTTCTGGGGGTCTAACTCTTGGACCTGGTGGAGATTTGGAGCCTCGCTTGTTTCGT